GGACAGATGAATGGAGGGATGCATGGATAGATGGCAGATAGACACGCTAGCATTGGTTTTTGCACAGGCAAGCACAGCTCACATTTCCATCAGACAATGTATATTTCTGATTATGGCATTATTTGCACATACTATAATATGTGCAATTCAATTCAAACATACCTGATTTATTGCGCAGGCTTCAGTTCCTCTCTACTCATTGATCAGCCTTTTTGTCTTTTTTAGACAAAAAGCTGAAGAATTGTGCCTCTCGTGCTTCATTTCCTCATTTGCTTCCTCTCGTTCTTTCTCTCAACCCTGCCCCCCTGTCTCTGCTGCATGCTAACCAATAAAATTAAAGTTATGGTTGTTATAACACTGAATTTTTCATGCTTCATTACAATAATTGTTGACACGCAGGCTGTTTTCTCACCTGATTAGCATATCTGTACTAGCACTTCTGACTGCCTATCAGCAGGCAGCCTTTTCTGAAGTCCAAGGTTTGATAGGATGATTATAGGTTTCCATGGTTGCCTCAGTGATGATGTAATAAAGTCAATCAGCTTGTTTGTGGCTGTGGAGATGAAGTGCCCTCAGTGCATAGCACAGAATTATTCTGTTAACAGCGGTTGAGATGAGAGTAAATTACACCTCTCGTTGTGTCTCTCCTCCTCCTCTCACTTCATTTCCTCTCTCTGGACTGTGGAAATCACTAAGCACTGTGACCTCTATAAATAGATTCAAGTATTCAAATGTTTTTTATTACACTCTTTGTTAATTAAAGGTGATGTAATAATTTATATTATAAATAATTTAAATTCATTAATTTCGCATTCAATTTGATGATGATTATGATGATGATGTATAATTACTGATACACATACACTGCCGGTCAAAATTTGGAATTATTAAGGATCATGTTCTGAAAGATCATGTGAAATGAAATGTTGTGCTTTGCCAACACAGAAATAAATGACATGTGGATGGATGGGTGGATGGATAGATGGACGGGTGGATGGGTGGATGGATGGATGGATGGATGGGTGGATGGGTGGTTGGATGGATGGATGGATGCATGGGCATATAGATGGGTAATGGATGATAATGGATAGATAGGTGGACAAATGGATGGATGGATAGATGCATATATGGGTATTATAGATTAATAGATGGATAGATAAACAAATTGGATAGATGGAGGGATGATAGATGCATAGATGGGCAGAGAGATTAATAGATGGATAGACAGATAAATTGGATGGATGGATGGATGGATGTACAGATGGACTGATGGGTAGACAGATGAAGATGAAACAGTAGATGCATAGATGGTAGATGGATGGATGGATGAACAGATGGATTGATAGATAGACAGATAGATGTAGTGGTAGATGCATGGATGGTAGATGGATGATGAATGGATAGAAGGTTATGTGGACAAATAGATGGATGGATGAACAGATAGATAGGTAGATGGATAGATGAATGGATGTATAAATTGATAGATGGACAGATAGTTAGATGGGTAGATAAATGAATGAAAGAAAGGATGGATGGACAGATAGGTAAGTAGGTGGACAGATGAATGGAGGGATGCATGGATAGATGGCAGATAGACACGCTAGCATTGGTTTTGCACAGGCAAGCACAGCTCACATTTCCATCAGACAATGTATATTTCTGATTATGGCATTATTTGCACATACTATAATATGTGCAATTGAATTCAAACAACCTGATTTATTGCGCAGGCTGCAGTTCCTCTCTAGGCATTGATCAGTCGTTTGTCTTTTTAGACAAAAAGCTGAAGAAAATGTGCCTCTCATGCTTCATTTCCTCATTTGCTTCCTCTCTTTCTTTTTCTCAACACTGCCCTCCTGTCTCTGCTGCATGCTAACCAATAAAATTAAAGTTATGGTTGTTATAACACTGAATTTTTCATGCTTCATTACAATAATTGTTGACACGCAGGCTGTTTTCTCACCTGATTAGCATATCTGTACTAGCACTTCTGACTGCCTATCAGCAGGCAGCCTTTTCTGAAGTCCAAGGTTTGATAGGATGATTATAGGTTTCCATGGTTGCCTCAGTGATGATGTAATAAAGTCAATCCAGCTTGTTTGTGGCTGTGGAGATGAAGTGCCCTCAGTGCATAGCACAGAATTATTCTGTTAACAGCGGTTGAGATGAGAGTAAATTACACCTCTCGTTGTGTCTCTCCTCCTCCTCTCACTTCATTTCCTCTCTCTGGACTGTGGAAATCACTAAGCACTGTGACCTCTATAAATAGATTCAAGTATTCAAATGTTTTTTATTACACTCTTTGTTAATTAAAGGTGATGTAATAATTTATATTATAAATAATTTAAATTCATTAATTTCGCATTCAATTTGATGATGATTATGATGATGATGTATAATTACTGATACACATACACTGCCGGTCAAAATTTTGAATTATTAAGGATCATGTTCTGAAAGATCATGTGAAAATTCAGCTTTGCCAACACAGAAATAAATGACATTTTAAATGAAAATATATTCAAATAGAAAACTTCTTTTAAACTGTAATATTTCATAATATTACTGTTTTCACTGTATTGTTCAGTGTTATTTTAGTGTCATTGCAATATTGTTCATTTTTATTAATGTTTTAAATCATTTTTTAAAAAGATTTTTAATTTTAATTTTAATTGAAGTTTTAGTAATTTTGTTGTGTGTGCTGTCATTTTTTTTTAGTAGTTTTTGTTTTTATATATTCATTTTTATTTCATTTTTAGTTTTAGTTACTTTATTATATTAAGTTAAACTAAATTAAAATTATAAATATTTTTAGCAGTTGGCTGAAATAAATAAAGTTTTATTTTATTTCAGTTAACATATATTTTATTTCAAATAATGATTTTTTAAAATTTGTTTGTTAATTTTAATTTTAGTTAACTATAATAACCCTGATTGTTCATCAAATAAATGCAGCCTTTATGAGCATAAGAGAAAAAAAATATTGCACTGTTAGTGCTATATCACTATTGTTATAAATATTACAAGGTAATATAAGTAATACTTTCAGAATTTACAAAATTATCTGTTCAGATAATATATACAGCTAGATAGGCAGTTAGGTGGAGCTATGGTGTTGGTCAGTGGTTGCTAAGCTGTGCTGGATGGTTGCTATCATATTTCTAGGCAGTGCAAGTGCGTATAAGCATAATAATCGGCCATAGAAAAAAACTTGTTGACCACTAATCAGAATATTAGAACTATAAAAAACAAAAAGCAATTTGTCCAAGTCTTTTGTTGACCGAGGCCAAAACAAACAATCAATGAAATACCATGCATTGTATGCAGGGGCGCCGTAAGGGGGTGGGGAGGTTAGGACGATTCTAAGGGCCTGACGTTGGAGGGGGGCCCACCGAGGGGGGAACGCGATTTACCGAAGGGAACGTGGAAAATGATTTCTACCGAGGGGAATGCGATTTACCGAGGGGAACGCGGAACACGATTTCTACAGAGGGGAACGTTAACACGATTTCCGAGGGGGACCTCCGCAACCCTCACCCAAATCCACGGAACGCGATTGTGATTTCTACCAAGGGGTAGGCTACCCCCGCACACCACATTAGAGCCCTGCACGGGCCTCAAGTTTAGGCCCTAGCCCGGCACTAGCTGCCCCGAGACGCTCAGGCCCTAGCCCGGCCCGTTTCCGACAGCTTATCAGAATTACCGGCCCGAGCCCGTCTTTTTTCTCCCAAAACAGCTTATACTACTGTTTCAGCTATTAAAATAGTTCAGTTTTGTATTTAATGGCAAAGTGATTACATTTAGTTTAGATTTTTTATTAAGTTAATTTAGAAAAACGTTTGGAGCATTTTTTGTTTGTTAAATATACGTTTTTGTTTTTTAAAGTAAGGACCAAGCGGCCAGCGGCAGACAGTGAGCCGATCAATTTAGCCTATTCAAATCATCACGACTTGCCTAAAATAAAATCTAGCCTATATATATAAAACAGTTCAAGCATATAACAATGTTTTAAATGTTAAACCTAGATAAATGTGCGCTATAACCAATAGTTTGTGCGGAGAGTGGAAGCTGAAGCGCGCTTTGCAGGACATGGAGACGCCAGCGCGATCACTTGTGTTTTTTTCAGTGGATAGCCTACGCCGTCATTTTTGCTTAATAAAGGTATAAAAGTAATACACCATTCGTATTTGTAAAGAGTCTACATTTATTTGTGTGCACTCACAATATCAACAAAACGTTGTGCTTTTATAAAATAAAGAAAACAAACATGATGCGCTTTCTGCTGTCTCGTCTTGAACAGGAGCGCTTCACAAAAATGATCTGAAACTCAGCGAATACATGCCTCACAGACATGATAAATATATCTATAGAAAGCTTTAAATTACTACTTAACGAACTGAAACAAATCAAAAAGTCTTTCATTATAATCAGTCATAATTTGTAAAGATGCACTTCTCTCTAAAGGCACGCCTGAGGAGATGGCGAGTCAGGATCGGCAACTTCATCCTTGTGACACCGACTCGGAGAAAACTAGTTTATTAGTAAATAATTCAAATATCTCCTTACTATTTCCTCCTGACACATTTATGGTAATTACTTTTGCCAGTGCTTTGCGGCAAGCTTAAGCCTATTGCTTGCATTTGAACGCAGAACTATTCCGCTGCGCTGACGGCATGCACCATGCTGCTGCTGCTGCGGGACAATAAACACAGTCGCGCCGCTCTTGACAGTCGCGGTAGCACGGTCTCGTGTTGTTTCCACCAGCTTTCCAATTTTTTTTTATCATTAATTGATGGATGTCTAAAATATAAAAATAAGGAGAAGCCTAAAACAGGCCAGAGGCCCGGCCCGCGTCTGAAATATTATGTGAAAATTGGCCAAAAAAAAAGTCGGGCCCGGGTTGAAATGCAGATCCCCCGGGAGCCCGAGTGAATATGCTGTCCAAGGGGCCCAGAAACAGTAGCGGCGCCCCTGATTGTATGTTATTGCCTGTATTCCAGCCACCATTGTGTTGAATGAGCTGAACTGGACTGAAGCACTGGAAGACGTCTTTAAGAAAAACAGAGAAGAGGATCCAACGCTACTATGGCAGGTGTTCGGCAGCGCTACTGGATTAGCTCGCTATTACCCAGGTATAAGCTTGTAGTGTCTGTTTAATTCAGAACTCACATTTCAGTGCACATTACTATCAGAATCACACACACACACACACACACACATCCTCCCTCTCCCTTTCCAAGACTCCACTGTCTCTAATTGGTAAACATAGCATGTAGTCCCAGCTCAAATTACACCAAATTTTCATAACAAATTATAATATCAAATATCTCAGCAGAGAGCTTATTGTATTCTTCTGAGATTTAATGATGACAGATGAGAAAAGTAATGAGGTGCTGAATTCATTTTCATTACTTTCAGATTTGTAATTGGTAAGGCTTTAGTAAAAAATGTTGCATATAAATAGTGTATTAGCCACCGCTGAACCTCTGTCCCTTTACGGCTTTATAAGAGTTTGAATTTCTCATATCTAACCTCATGTTTTGCCAAACCTGTACGACTTACTTTCTTCTGCAGAACACAAAAGCTGAATTTTGGAAGAATATCCTGGTTATACTTTTTCATATAATGGAAGTGAGTAAAGACAGGGGCTGTCAAGCTTCAACAAGGAGCATCATAAAAGAGGTCCATATAACTTCTGAAGCCATACAAACACTTCACTTGTGTGAGGAGCAGATCAAAATTATTCACTGGAAAGCTGGATCATTGAACAATTGAACTGGAGAAAACCAGATCATTGAACGAATCATTCAGACTGGATTTGTGAAACGGGTTGACTCAAAAGAATGATTCATTCACAAATATTTCTCTCATGAACTTTTATGAATGCAGCATGAAATGCAAATGGCAATATTTTCAGTGAACTCAAAGTATATTTTATATAATTCATTTACTAATTAATTAATGATTTTTTATTTAAGCAGCATTTCTGTTAATTGACCCTCCTTAGGATGACAGTAGAGGAGAGTGCGGGGTTTATATATATATATAAATTCATATATGGTCCTCATTAATTTTTATTATATTGAGAGGAGGGCCTGGTATAGTCTTCAGAAATTCATCTTTTGTATTCCATAGAAGAAAAAAGTCATACGGGTTTGAAATGACATGGGTGATTTCTCATTTTTGAGTCAACTATTCCTTTAAGACTGTAATATAATAAGATGTGGGCTCCCAACTATTGATTGTCTTCTTATAGATACGTATACGCCTATAAAATATTGATGTTCTTGTAAACTTCAATTCATTATAGTCGGCAGAACACGGCCAAATCGCAGTGTCTCAGACTATCTGTCGGCACTTACAGCTGCAATCCACTCACTAAATGTCAAAACGTGGGATGCCATTTATGAAGAAACACGTCTTGTTAGATGTTCAGCTGTGATAGTCACAGATGAGCACCCTCATTTGCACCAGGTTATTTTCTCCGTTAAAGAGTAAAATCGAAGCTGAAATTCTACTGGGGCCCTTTTTTTTCCACATCGGCTCACTGCAGTCAATATAAACCATAAACCACCCCCCACCGGACACAGAAATAGGTTTCTAGCAAGGCTCGCTGATGTGCTCACGACAGAGATGTGACAAATCAGATGGAGTTTGGGATCAGGGGTCACTCATATTTCCATATCCTGTCTCTGTCCATTTAGCTTCCCCTTGGATGGATGCCAGGAAAACGCCCAGTAAAATCGACCTGTACGATGTGCGCCGGCGACCTTGGTACTAATGTGTATTTCTGTGTGTGCGCTTTGAATTCTTTTTCATTTGTTCCCTTTTTTCTTCAACCTTCATTTCTTTGTTCTCTCAGTTTAAAATTCTCCTTGAAAGAGATCCAGTACATTTCTTTCTTTGTATCCAGGTATGTTCAAGGTGCCGCGTCGCCCAAGGACATGCTGATTCTTGTTGATGCGTGAGTATTTTGTGTATGTGCTTTTTAAATTATGAATATTATAAATCTTTTTATTATGTATTTAGTCTTATATGCTGTGCCGCAGATATATATATATATATAGAGAGAGAGAGAGAGAGAGAGGGATGTTTGTGTAGATATATTAACATACTATTTATTTAAACATTGTTGTAATTGAGTGCTTTTATTAGGGCTTGGAGACATAGTTCACCCAAAAATGAAAATTCTGTCATCTTTTGCTTACCATGCTGTTAAATAATGACATAATTTTCATTTTTTTGTCAACTTTCACTTTAACTGCCATTGTGTTTGTATTGGTGTGTTGCAGGAGTGGAAGTGTATCTGGACTGACCCTTAAACTGATCCGAACCTCTGTCAGTGAAATGCTGGAGACACTTTCTGATGATGATTATGTCAATGTCGTCCATGTAAGTAAGATCACATGCTGTGTGCACACCGCAGCCGTAGGACTCATTCTGGTTTCTGCAATGGTTTACAAAGTAACATTGCATTTTCTCATTCTGCTTTTCACATACATTCCCATACTTTTCCGAGCAATTCTGGAACATTGTTTTGCAGCAGTAGTTTTTCTAGGATGAGTCGCTTTTGTTGTAATATTCCTAATTTGTAATTCATACTTTGGATAGCGCCCCTTTTTGCATCTGCTAAATGAGTAGCCTACATGTGAATAGCGATACTGGTAGCAACATTTTGGCATCTCGACACATTAAACACGCTCAAGTTCTGTTGACAAAGGTGTTGTTTTCTTTAAAGTTGTCAAAGGAAATTAGGAATAGTTCACTCAAAAATAAAATGTACTCACTCTTAGGCCATCCAAGATGTAGATGAGTTTGTTTCTTTATCAGAACAGATTTGGAGAATTTTAACATTACATCACTTGCTCACCAGTGGATTCTCTGCAGTGAATGGGTGCCGTCAGAATGAGAGCCCAAACAGCTGATAAAAACATCACAATAATCCACACCACTCCAGTCCACCAATTAACATCTTGTAAAGTGAAACACTGTGTGTTTGTAATAAATATATCTGTCATTAAGACGTTTTTAACTTTAAACTGTTGCTTCCGGCTGTCCATAATATTGCTTTCTCCAGGGAAAAATGGTCTCGTCTGAATCAGGAGAGAAATATGCACAAATCAAGCATATTTACAAGAGAAAATAATCCAAAAAAGTCCTAAACAAATATACTGGTGGATTTTGATGTGAGAGGACACATCACATTTACTGGAGGAAGCGTTATTATATAGATTATGGAGCTTTAACTTTAAATAAGTGATGGCTCTAATGATGAATTTGTTTCTTATAAACACACAGCTTTTCACTTCACAAGACATTAATTGATGGACTGGAGTCATGTGGTTTATTTGTGGATTACTGTGATGCTTTTATCAGCTGTTTGGACTCTAATTCTGACGGCACCCATTCACTGCAGAGGATTCAAAGGCAAGTGATGCAATGCAAATGTTCTCCAAATCTGTTCCGATGAAGAAACAATCTCATGTACATCATGGATGGTCTGAGGGTAAATTTTCTTTTTTGGTGGAATATTCCTTGAACAAATTTATAATTTGTTATCATTTGCTTACCCTCATATAGTTTAAAGCCCATGTGAAGTTCATTCTTCAAGAAAGATGCATTTCAGTTGAGCTGTCAGTATCCAAAAAAGCGTAGCTTCACTGCATTAGCAACTATGTGGATCTAATAAAAGTTGTATTTCACTACTCGAAGTTTTGAGGGTTGCAGAAAGTGCTTGTCACTTCCATAAAAAAGAAAAATGTGTGTAAATAACAAACTGTGTGTGTACAGAATGGGATTAATCGCTCAGAAAAGTGTGACAAGCGTATTTAGCTGCAGCTGTACAGTAAAAATGGAACAAGACATTGTTACTCTGACTTCAGTTTAAAGTGAGGAGTTTCTAGAGCTTGTGGGTTGCAGGTTGCTGTGTGATGCAACAACAGTATGTGTGTGTGAGACAGAGAAAGAGAGAGAGAGAGAGAGACAGAGGAGTTGTAATGAAATATGGATCTGGCTGCAGCTTGCCACTTGAAAACAGGCGCTTAATGAAAAGGCTGCGTCTGGGCTCTGTGTGCTGAATTGAAAATGGCTGGACAAAGTGAGGGGAAGAGATCAGGCTGAGTGAGAAAGAGAAGGCCAGAGAAAGAGGGAGGAAATTGCTATATATCATTCCTCTTGGAAGGAGCCTCTAATCCATCTTGGCTAGCTGATCTTTTACTCGGGTGCTGCCAGTTTTGTTCTCAAATTTTCCTCTGACCAAAGAAGCTCACAGGATGCTCATGTCGAAACCTGTCATGTATGTTGTAGGGGTCATTATTTCTTAAAGGAGTAGTTCGACCAATAATGAAGATTTGCACTCATGATGTTCCAAACCTGAAGTGATTATTTGAAGTGAATTACAATGGACATAAAGCTTTCTAGCTTAAAAAATTAAGCCAAACCAACCATGAATTGTCATAAAAGTGGTACATATGCTGTATTCCAAGTGTTATAGACCTGTGAGAAATGCAAGTTGAAAATCTTGACATCAGGCCTAGCTGATAAATGATTCATTTGAGTCATATCATTAACTGACTCTGATTCTTTCACATAATTGGATTTATTCACAAATCGCACTGATCTGTTTCTTGGACAGCTCACTTTAGGAGAAAAGTACTGTGAATAATAACTTGAAATATGTTTGTATGAATTCAAAAGACTTGGAATATAGTGCCTTTGCCGTATGGACCACTTTTATGATGCTTTTATGTTGCTTTTGTGTCCTTAAGCTTGAAAGCTTCAGTCCCTATTTCTTGTAACTGTATGAAAAAGAATGAAAAAAAAAGGCATACAGGTTTGAAATGAACAATCACACTCTTTGTTTTTGTACTTGCCTCAAAAACCATGCTTGGTATCCCACATTTTTTAATCTTCAGTGAATAAAGTTTGATTTATTTATTGTTTTCACTTCTCAGAGGATTTTGAGGTTTTCTTGCATTGGAGAATCACTGTTCCGATAAAGGATTAGCTCTGTGAGATCTGTCAAATGGATTCGCTTCAGGGAACATATGCCAATGAGAGTGTAGCGTTTTGTTGTGTGTGAGAGTGTGCTTGGGTGTATTTGAGTGCGAATGCATCAGTTGGATACCGAAAGATCAAATTTTGGAGTGTGTGTTTGTACAGATCAGTAGTTTGAGAGCATCTGTGGTACTGTAGTTTAAATAAAAGGGCTTTGTGGGCATTGTGTTGGTTGAATTTATAAATCTATAATATGGTTGTGCTTTTATAGACGGTTGATCGCCACCAGTATAAATAACATATGCTATAAATATGGTAGCTATTTAGTTTATGAATGAGGAAAGTGAGGAGGATTATGATCAATAAACAGTTTTATGGCTTTAGCAATGCAAGACAAATAAAATATCTAATAATTTCAGTTGTAATTAAGCTGACTTCATGAACATTTTATACAGTTTGATTGATAAACAAAGCCAAACCCTTCTTTTGCAAGAGATATTATGCATTCCTGTCAAGTTACAGTGAAGAACAAGACTTGGAATAAAAATATTTTGTAATACAGGCTGCATTTGGAATTTAATACTAGTGTGCTGCTTACTGCATACAGTACTTATGTATGCACAATATATGCCTGTTATTGGTGTGTGTGTGTGTGTGTGTGTGTGTGTGTGTGTGTGCGTGTGTGTGTGTGTGTGTGTGTGTGTGAATGCAGCACATGGGGCTCTCGACTGTCTCCTACAAACAAATGTTGCTCATTTTAACAAGGCTTTGTAATATGATGCCACATACACAGCCACTCTTATAACAATAGCTCAAGGATTTCATAAATCTTCATACATTTTTGAAAAGCCAACTGAAGGAAATTGAGGTTTTGTCATTTGATCATACAGTATTTGTGGGCCAATAATGCAGTCGGTTACACAAAATCATAAAAATGGGTTTGGGTTTGGGTTATGATTTTGAATATAAAATGCATGGCCACTTATAAATTAAAACAATTCATGTGAACAGTGTGTTGGTTATACAATTTAATAATCAATTTACAATAATATTCAAGTATATTGCATAGTTTTTTTTCTATCCAAAACAGAGTTTCTCATCTGTTTTCAGTGTACCAAAAATAAAATGTGTACTAAAACTAAAATTTCACACATTGCATTGCATATTTATTCAAACCATTTTAATCATACCATTATCAAAGCAAATATTTAACCTGTTAATTATGCTGCATAATCCATAATTAATTAAATCCATAATTAAAATATTTTTAAGGCTGAATCAAAGTAGGTGATACAAATGCATGCTTGCTTCTTTCATAGATAATGCTACATTCAGCCTTTTGTCTTAACATAAGAGCTGTAATAACCATAGATAGTGCATATCCATGCAAATGTGACATTTATAGGAAGGAAATATGACATATTATGATAAAACAGTCTTCCGCTTTGCTGGTCAGCTAAAGTGTCTCTAATTTCAGTCATTTTCCAAATAAATATTTGATTAGTTTTTTTATGAAGGCAAATATTGGATCAAGGTTATGGATGCTCATTAGGGCTCTGCTGTGGCAACTGCCACTGAATTGTTCAAGGATATTATCTGATTCATCATTTATATTGACTCATCTGTGGGGCGGATTTTCGTAGGCAATGATTGACTGGTGCAATTGACCTGCAGCATGACAAACAATTTGAACGGAGAACATAAGATTACAGCTTTAAATTGGTCCCTTGAGGTAACTCTGGGTTTAAGAGGTGGATTTCATGCAGGAAACATGTCCCTTTCTCCGGTTGGAGATGAAGAGTGGAATAAGATTCTCGGTTTATGAATCAGCCCCCCCCCCCACACACACACACACACACTCTGTACAGGGTTTACACCCTGATACAATTAGAGTGACTCATATTGGAAAGAAAAATTGCAAATATGACCTATTTAATATCTGCCTTCAACTGTATGCTTTTGGAATCTCTTTAATATCTTAATTATTTCTCCTATACAGCAGTGAGACTAAATGAAGACTTTTGCTTCTGCTTCTCAGAATTGTCTTTTTAGAAAAATACTCATGTGTGTCTCTTCTAAGGTTTTCAAAAGAGATTTTAACCATGTCTCATACTGTTTTTTTGTTGTTGTTTTTTGCATTTTCCAGCATATCAAGTCAGTTCATTTAATAGCTGTTTATTTCCACTGTGGTCTGGAATACTTAATTCTGGTTGATAATGCACAGTGTTCGCCTATTTATTTTTGTATAATAATTTGTATCACTCCATGCTCTCTTTCTTCTCGCATATTAAAATCATTTCAATTTAAAAACAAAATAAAATCAATATTTTATTTTAATTTACTATTTAAGTTGAACTTGTTCTAAATATTAGTGAGAAGAAAAAAGAGTGTGAAATGTATCACCTGCCTTGATTGTGGCATAATATTTCAGTATTTTAATATAAATATAAATTACAAATATTTTAGCTTGGGATTATGCATCATAGTTAAGGTTGTAAATATTTGCTCTGATAATAATACAATTAAATTACAATGATTTAATAAACAATGCAATGCATCATGAAATGTGATTTTTTTTAAAAATGTGTTATGCTTATTAAATGGCTGTTTAATAAATTAATATAAAATATTTAATTTTGTGAGTAACCATGTAATGTATTTATTCTGCATAGTCCTGAATTAAAATATTTTATTCATATTTATACTGAAATATTTTTGTTTGAAATGTAAAATATCAAACAGTTAAAATTTAAACAAATTGTTATCAGAGGAAATATTTTTACCCTTAATTATGTGCATATTTTTACCCTTAATTTAAGTTATATATATATATACAGTATATATGTATATATATATATGTATATGTGTGTGTGTGTGTGTGTGGTTTGTTTATTTATTTATATAATTATTTAATAATAATTAAATGATAATTATAATAACATAATTTTGTTAGAACGTTTTGTTAAAAGTGTTCTGGTCATTTTGACCCAAAGTGGATATTTATTTTACTGTAAATGCCAGTTAATGTTATTAAATTCTGATTAAAACCTGAAAAACCTTGTTACACTTTTGGCGTTCCCGGCGGTCAAAAATGAACGGCCTACAAAAAGTTGTTCTGAGCTTCTGCACCTCAGTTTTTGAGTGAACTTTGTCAAAATTATCCACAAATAATGCTTATTTCACTCAAAAACTGAGGTGCAGAAGCTCAGATTAACAAGGCCTATGATTATTTTTTTTTAAGGCCTATGATCATTTTCACCGCTAGAGTAACATTCTTCGAAACATTTGGGGTAATATAAGTACACAAGTCAGCAAAATATATAACACTGTTTTAGTGGTTTTTGGATATTTTAATAAAAAAATCTTGAATGAAAACAAGTTGTCAAAAAGATTGAATCTGAGATTTGCTGATAATACAGCATGATGAGAGATTTACAATCGTTTTTACATCAAATTAGGAAACACCAAATTAGATAAAGGAAAAAAAAATTCTAAATGAAAAAAAAATGAAATGAAAATTAAAAATTGGTTTAATTTTGTAAGTATCCAAGTTCTAGGTGGGACAATGCACAGTCAGCTGGTCATTATTGACTCCAACAGACCCCTTTGGGGTCATACAAGACCCTTCTGCTCCATATTGGGGTCCCAATAAATACTGTTACTATTTTTATTTCACCATAGGACTTTTCGAAGAAGCAACTGAGGACATTTTAATACTTGAAGCATAATTGAAAACTCTTTTAATTCCCCTGAGCTGTGAACGAGCAACCCCCGAGCAATAAAACGTTCCTCTGGGGAGAGACGTGACACGACAGAACTAGAACGTTCTGGTTATAATCAACGAAGCCGTCTACACCGCGAGTGCGCGCCGTCTGCTGTGTGTAGGGGTCTGTGTATCATCAATGTGTCCTATTCCTCTATTTATAACCTGCCATATGCTGAGAGCAGTGAGTCACGGGGGCCTCCGTGGCGATAATTCCGAGCGTTAATTAAATATTCAGTCAATGCTAGAGCGACTAATCGAACCGTGACTCATCGGTTCATTCAGCAGACACTGTGACATCCAGCTCATTCAACAGAGCACAGACACCTGATCCCACAGATACATCAATGACTGGCGCATGTGTCCTAATCAAACGCACGTCTCTCTGTGTCCGGCCAGAAATTCAAAGTCGGGAAGCCTTTTGAGTCGACATGAATGGAAAAATAAGCACTGGATCATGAAAAATAGATGAAAAGCTGCACTATGGTAAACACGGGAGGTTTGAAGGTGTGTTCTGCTTGCACTTGCCACAGGAAGTGCATCATGTGCTTTCGCATGTCCTCAGGGAGAGCTGGAGATATAGTAATCATTTTAATTTTTGCATGAGCTTGCACATACCACCTCATTAGCTGTAATGGTGCCGTAATTGACTCGCACCTGTTAATCATTCTGACTTTTCCCATTGTTGGGGTTATAGGAGGCGCCGTCCCTGGGTAAGGTACAAATCGGTGTCCAATTAAGCATCAGAGGAACCTTTTTTTGTAGAAAGAACTGTTTGATGTATTAAATAAGCTATTAACTAACTTAAAATTATCCTAGCATGAAATGTAACTAGTTTTAAACACAGGCAGTGTCTTTTTCCCCCCTTTAAAATGGTGAAACTATAGTTTTAATTGCCAAAAACTTGATTTATTATTTTATGGTTTTTATTATTTTTACTCTCACAAGCCAACTTTTTTTTTTCCTTTAGTAGAAATAAAATACTAAAAAAAAAAAATAGTAGAAAAAAAATACTAAAAAAAAAAAAAGCTATATATATATATATACATATATACACACAATATATCCAGTCCACTGAAAATAGTGTCATCATTTTGAAATAAAATTTAGAATTAATATTCAGTAAAATTACAATATTATATACAATATATATTTTTATTATTTAAAAAAAAACTTTTAATTGACCAAAACATTTTATTATGTAGTATTTGATGTTTCACTCTCACAACCAATTTCTTTTTTCATTTATTAGAAATATGTTTATCAATAACTAAATAAAAAAAGGACGATTTGGGCATTACTCTTCTCAGAGATTTTTAACTTCTTGAATATATCCATCAATTTAAAACTGTTTCCTGATTTTGATATAATCTGTAGAATTGGTATTCAATTAAATTTTAGTAAAAAAAAAAAAAAAAGTTCAATGCTTTGCCAAATACATTTTTTTATTATTATTTTGTTGTCTTTATTATTTCTCTCTCAACTAACTAACATTTTTTTTAATTGGAAAAATGCTTATTAATAACTAAATTAAATAACATTTGGTCCCTAGATCGAATGATACACGGATTTAACTACCCCCTATGTTTTGTTTTTTGTTTTGTTTTTTGTTTTGTTTTGTTTTGTTTTTTGTTTTGGGGTACATCTATTATATAACTATAGCTATTTAAATTTGATTATTTTAAAATAAATTCATTAAAATAAATAGAAAATAAAATTGCTCATATAGTATAGATTTTAAGCGACTTCATTATTAAGATTTTTTACCTTGTTTGTGGACTATTAGAGTCTGCAGTATACTATTTTTTCCTTATTTTTCCTCCTACATTCATTCTCCCTTTTTTTTCCTCTTTCCTTCCTCTACCCAAGTCTATTTTCTTGTTCTCAATCTCTCAAGCTTTGAAGTAACAGGTTCACAGGGGTCAGCCGCAATAAGTGACAGAACACAGAGAGCCCTATCTGAACAGAAAATTAGAAACTTGTAAGGGTATCCAGCTTGTCAGCTCAAATTATTTTCATCACTGTACCACAACACATGCGCATACTCAAACACCTGCAGAGATTCTGACCCCAGTATAGAGATCTTTTAAGTCACACACGCTTTTGTTGTGATTCTAAAAAAGTCTTGCTGTGATTCCTGTGAATGAACAATGAGAAGTCCAATGATTTTTCACTTACTGTATGCCTCTCTCTCCTCTTTTTCAGTTTAACACAAAAGTGAACAACACAGCATGTTTCGACCACCTGGTTCAAGCTAACGTTCGCAATAAGAAGATCTTAAAAGATGCAGTGCAGAACATCACAGCCAAGGGCATCACCAACTACACCAAAGGCTTCGAATTTGCCTTCAATCAGCTGTCAAATGTATGAGTTTTTGCTGTTTTGGGGAGATTTTATATTGAAAATGTATCTATAAAAGTATTGTCTTTCGTCTCAGTCCCCAGCAGCCTTAAAATCTTCACTTTGTGTGATTTCTCTTCATGTTGGCTGAAAAGAATGTCTGTAATAATGTATAAGCTTATTTCACTCTGCATCCTCTTTTTACCTGATGTTAAAATATTGTAAAGTCTGATAAGTACAGTTTAAATATGATCTTTCCCTTCAGTCACTGATGGATTCAATCATAACAAGCTTGACTTAAGGCAAGAAATATTCTACTTAAGCCACAAGTAGGAGGCTGAAATCCTGGAATCACTTCTGCTTAGTAATATTTGTTTACTAAAAGGGGTAAAAGTAGTATTGTTGTGTTCTGCTGACTTCTGCTGGTCGTTCTGTGTAACTGCATCTGATTGTGCTTATTTCAGCCAAACATCACCAGAGCAAACTGCAACAAGATCATAATGCTGTTTACTGATGGAGGCGAGGAGAGAGCAGAGGAGGTCTTCAGCAGATACAACATTGACAAAAAGGTGTGTGTGAAGCTGGATTTTAGTTTGTAATGAATCATATTTAACTAACACCAACATTTTGTGACTATTACAAAAACATATCTAGGTTACATTTCAAACAATTTAATTTGAAATAAAGTTGATTACTACAGTATTGTGAAGATTGATTGATGGATGGATGGATTGATTGACTGACAAACATTTTTCTTTGGGGAAATTAAGCTCACATTCTCGTAAAATCTTTCCAAAGTTTTTTTTTTTTTCCTTCTCTATCTTTGTTCTCATTAATATATTACAGACTTTTCCACTGTACAAAACAAATGATGAATATAAAACTATAGTGCAGAAAGTTGTTTTAAATCATAGAGTA